CTGTAAATTAAAAAAAAAAAGGGGGGGGGGGCCGGGGAGAAGCCTGGCACAATTTATAATGGCTGCAAAAAAACTGAAGTATGTCTGTTGCTCCAGATGTCATAAAAATCTCTATACCTAGCAACACTTATAACATTGAGTTTACCAAAAATGGCTGAAGAGCAGATATAGTTTGCATTTTCTATACAACAGGCTATAAAACATCACTTATCACAGTCCAGAAAGCACATATAGATGTGTTTTTATATAAACATATGTAATAACATATTAAGCGTGCATGAAAATTTCCCAATGATTGCATCTATGCCCTCTTGTTTGTTTTTTTCTTTTTTTTTTTTGTGGAAATGTGCCTTATATTCCAGATTTTTGTTTTTGTTTTTGAAAATAAGGCCTCCGTACTATTTTCCTCACAACCAGAAAGGGGCTTTTTGAAAGTATTTCTACGTAAGTCTTCAGAAAAGCCAGCACTTTGTTTCAAATGCAAGTTTCCAATCACTGCTTCACTGCACCAGACGGCAAACTCTTTATGTTTGCTTGTTGAGTCACCATATATAATGACAGTCTTCTCTGACAATAAGACTAACTTACTTCTCAAGAAAGCGCTAGCACTTTGGCTAAATCCAGAATCATAGGTAGCTTCTTTTTTCTTTTTTTTTCCTGTTTTGTTTTTTTAATTTGTTTTGTTTCATATTGTGCCTTGATGCTGTAGTAATACTCCTTGCTTTATGAATGCGTGGTGTCATCATTGTCTTTCAGAAATGTTCCAGCAACATAAAGACAGGCAGAGTAAATGAAAACACTGTGGATGTTAGGGAATTTATCAGCTCCTGTTTCTGAAAAACAAGAGCATGAAATGCTTGTTTTTAAAAACAGTCTTTCCTTTCTGATTGCATTCCCTGTCTTTTTTGTTTGTTTATTTTTGAATGTGCTTCATAAAAAGTAAAGTAAATAAGTTTGTATTATGTCTCAGATAAAATGAAGACTATTTCTATACAAGCGTTCTTTTAGATGTTGAGATCAGACATAGTACTCCTTATCCTTATTTTTCTTGTTTTTGTTGGAACTTTTAGCGCTGTTGGGCTGTTTTTCCTTGATCACAGCCCCATTGGATTGTGCTGAGTTACTGATGTAGTTTCGACTCTCATCTACATGATACGATCCTTCGTCTCGATTCCTGTACTTGTACATAGCGTACAGGAGAATGAGGATACACAGCGCCGCTGCTGCCACGATCCCAACTACCATGCCTGTTGTGCTGCTGGATTCACGAATCACCTCGGATGAGCCAGGGTACTCCCTTCCTCCTCCTGCCCTGGTAGGATTTGCTGTAGGTAGATAATGAAATAAGGGAGAGGTTATTATTGAGTTTGCACATTGAGGAGTTAGTCATATCTACCTGCTACAGACATGCACCTTCCTAATTGCACTCACTAGGTCAGGACTGCCTATCAACGTACCCTACTCTACCGGTTTGAAAACATGTAGGTTTGCAGGTGATTCCATTTTCATGTCTGTCAGCACAAGTTTTAAACAAGGAAAAGGACAGCAAGGAAAAATCTCATTTTAGCCTTCAAAAGTACAATTTCTCCAAATGCTGTTATTAAGCAAAGAATGCCTAAATAATCTGGAATAACAGGCGTGCCACAATTTAAATGCCAAAACACGAACATCTGGGAGGAAAGGATCTCCCTGTCCCACTCCCTCCCTCTCTCTTCCTCGCCTTCAGTAAAGAACGAAAAGTGACACTATAGTACTTATGGAGAAGACAGTGATGATAAGACAGACTACCAAGCAGAATGGGGGGAAAAAAATCAAAATTCCCCCTAATAATAAATGACAGCAGCCAATAAGTTGGCTACAAATAAGGTATCCTCAGCTCTCCTTTAGACTTCCCTCAGCAAGCTTCTCAATTTCTCCTTTCCTTCTAATATTTTTTGCTTCTCTTTTTTTCCACATTAATTATACTTACTTTTATTACTTTTAGAGAGCTATCCAACCCTAGCTTCTCTTTTCGAATTCACAGAGTCTTCCCTGAATACGGCTACCCTTTAGAGCACTTTTTCACTCAACTTCTCCCATTCCCTCTTTTCATCATTGACGCCAATACCAGACATTCCTTCAAGCAATGCTTTATGCCCAGAAAAAAACCTCTCAAATTGCACAGAGCAAGGCCTCAACCTTCTAAGAACCCACCTCTCAGGCCAGACTCCGGTCTTTTCAGTTGTGATATGAACTGAACTGACCTATGTCTTCAGACTGTAAAGTCTTCTTGATAGGAACTATTGTGTTGTCTGGCACATTTTATCCCCTTGCACAGCCCTGTGGAATGAAAGCCTAATTCCAGGAGGAATTTCTAGGTTAAATGCTCACAGCACACACAATGCTTATGCATTTCCCATTATCTCCTTTCTTTACTGAATTTTGCAGAAGGAGGAGAGGCAGATCATTGTATAGAATCTCTTTAAGTGGCAATAGCTGAGATGGATCTTCTTCTGTAACTTAGCAAGCGTTATGGACAAAAATGAAGTGACCTGGGTCTGTGCAATATTCCTCTAATTATACCAGCATTTCCAGACTCCTGAGAGGCTGTGTACCCTCAGCACTGCCAGCGTTGGCTGAGCTCAGGAGCAAGAAAAGAGCAGTGAGTGAACCAGGGTTTCCCACTGAGCCGTGCAGAACACTCTCATTAAGCATCCAGGCTGGCTTATAGAAACCGCATTTTAAATCATTATGCATGGCTAAAAATGCAGTCAGTAAAATATAAATGTTAACTAAAAATATTATTAAACACTAGTTTTACAATATATTCATAATGTTAGCTTTATCAGGCCAAGTTTGGACAACCAGAATTAAAAGCAGCCACCAGCTACAGACACCGACAACTGGCCTACGAACAATAAAACGCAGCAAAAAAGCCACAAACCCCAAAAAGAACTAAATTCCCTCCCCACCTTGGTATTACTCGTCTTTTATTTATTGGTGATTTGTGTTCCTACTGTTGAAACACCACTTCCTGGCAGTTATCCCACATAGGTTTAAAGAAGGTGACATTTTATTTGGCTGAAAGAACAGAGGCACCACAGTAAGACTCAACTGTCATTCGTGTCAAATAGTATTTTAACTACTTTTTTTTTCCCCCCTCTGAAAGTTCTTAGTTGTTATGAGTTGGTACAATTGGTATTTTCTATGACTACACAAGAGATCTTGAAGTTTCGCTTCAGAAGGCTCTAAGATTTTTTCTCATTTCAGGGTAGATGCCACCCTACTAAGAAATGTGGTCTGTCTCAAAGTAGTCAGTGACTGTTTTAGATCCTGTTTCTTCATTGTAGCTATTGTAGAAAATGGAAATTCTTTTACACATAGGGTGTCATTTATTGTTTTACAAGAGACAATGCATTGTTGCAGAATAAAGACTCCTGAGTATTTCCATAGTGAATGAAAATGAGACAAAGTCTTATCTTACTGTGTATGATTTCAGGAAATTAATTTCTGTCTGAGAAATAATAGAAGCAAATTAATAAACTCTATCAATACCTGATGGAAAAACAGCTGCTCTTTCTCTTTAAAATAGAGACATTTGGGCCAAATGCCATCAACTAACTTTACAATTAATGTCTACTAAATGACACTTAACAGCTTGCTCAGAGGAAAACATTCTTTTAACATTGCAACCTAAAAAAACATGTAAGGAATATTTTTCAACGTTACCTAAACTCCTGCCTTTCACCTGATGGCATCCTTGTATTTTTAAGAATGTTTTCACAATTATCTCATTTATCCCATCTGTCTGAGGAATATTCAACCACTACATTAATGTTATTTAAACTTACACCATTTTCAAAGCATCTGTTGTTACATTTGTTTAGACTTCTGTAAAAGGAACACTTCAGCAAGGGAAATGACTTCTTGCTATTTTTCTTCTGTTTACATTAAAATATTCTTTTAACCTAGCAGGGCCTCTCAAGACAAATGAAGGAGGAGGAAATAAGAGGAAAGTTTTACAAAGCACATGGGTTTGTCTGTGAGCATTTTAGGTAGGAAAGGCTAATGGAGCACACGCTGAAGCAAGTGTCCTATTCTGAGACAAGGAGGAAAAGGCCACTGGGAAAAGGCCAGCCTACACTTCTTCTGAAATCCATAACATTGCTGAAACAGCTGCCTTCTATTTAAGTAGGACCTTTATCTTACTGAGACTGGAGTACCCAAGGGGAATTTACCTGGAATTTTTTTCCCCTGCAAGACAGGAACTATTGCAGGGGACCACAGATGATCTCAATGGAGAGCAAGTGAAGGTTATGAGGTTACAGAAATCTTGCTTTTTGCTTCCCAACTCTTTGAGAAACACATGATGCAGTTTTCTTCCTAGCATCTTGGTAGCTGAACCAGGCAGAGTCATTGGCTCCTGGCATAGCAGCAGAGGTATGTCTGTGGGTAACCTTGTCTGCTACTCGGTTGCAGTCTCTGTTAGTGTCTGCAGCATCAAAAAGACACTAACTTCATGCCATATAAAGTTTCTTATTGTAAATGAGAAGCTAAATACCTTATAGGTGAATGTTAAGATTAAATGTCATAAAAATGACCCCAATTTTTAAGAATAAAAAGTCATCCCCAAAAAATCCTGAAACAATCTATAATAAGTTGAGGACGGTTTGATTAGGAACAAGAGAAAATCATGAAGACTGTGATTATGCTCAGACCATGCCATAACAGTGAGAGAAAATAAAAGTCATCTTGTGGTGCAATGATCCCTTCTTAAAACAACTTCTTTGATGCACAACTCTTCCCCTGAACAGCACACAACCAGCCTTTTTGGATTGCGTCAAAGACCAGCTTAGAAGAGACTGATTTTTAAAAGCCTCTTCTACCACTTATGAAAAACTTTGCATGAAATAATAGCAATTGAGCACAGTTTTACATTGTGTAATAATGGATTAGAAAGTTATTATTCTTGAATGTATTTCTAAGTGGTTTAAAATTTAAAGGGAAAAATCTGACTATTTTCAGTGCCCAGTTTTCATTAATACTGTGAAAAGAAAATTGGAATTGCAGGCTCCCATGGTGTTCGTGAATTGAAATTAGCAGACTTAAAACCAAAACAAAAAACCCAACAAAAGGACCCCAAACCTGTTTTCTTTACATTTATGCCTTCCCACAAACTGTGAATAGGAAATTACTCACAAGACAAGAATGTTTAACTACTGCATTTGCAATGAGGTATGAAGGCAGTTATTTACAGGACACATACTAATTTTCACTCTGTGAGCTATCATTGTAGACCTGTTTGTGGTCGACTTTCTGTAGCATTGTTGAATTCTGGTGAACTGGTTTCTGAGCTCACTGCAACTTCAACATCTCATTACAACGAATACATCTGAAAAACTAATCTCAGTGCTTCCTCTGCTGAACCGGTGGGAGAGATGCAGCCTAACTGCAAAACCAGGATGAGGATCTGCTGTAAACTTTTGCAAGAGACTAAGCTCAAACCCACCCTGGTCTGAATACAGGGGTATCTCAGCCTGCTCCCTCCCTGCTGAACCTCAAGTGGCTCTCGAGGGGAGGCAAGAACTGGCTCCCCAGGGGATGTCCATCAATGACTGAGCTGTCATGGGAGGGAAGGAGTATGAGGTGGTTCCACATGTAGCTGCTATAGCTCAGTGACAAACTTTCATCAGACTTGGAAGAGTCTATATCCAAAGCCATGATCTAATCCACGTGAGAGAGGTACCACAAAACTAGGTGCGTTGCCAAACACACACTCTACACTCCTTGATCATGATGGCATGATGATTCAAAGGGAACGGGAGCTAAGACCTGCACTGTGATGTGGTGGAGAGGTGTGGTGCTTATGAGCAGAGTACCTACATTTGCCATCTTGAACTCGTGCCATTGCATTTGTTCCAAGAAATCTGTCAGATGCTTACTTAGCTTGAGGGAACAAGACAATAACCTACTTTCAAATGTGTTTAAGAGAAAATTATTAAGGTATCTATCTGTTCTACTCTGGTGCGCAAACCCAGGTTCTTTACCTCCTATAAATCAAAATCTCGAAGGTTCTCCAAAGGAAAGGTATAACGCATTAAAATACCTCTAAAGTGACATTAACTAACTTAGCTAGTCGTAAAAATAGTCTAGCAGCGAAACACCATCCACAGCTAAAAAGGTTGTTTTGCTAAGAAGCTAAATGCTGTCTCTGCACAGAATATAGTGTTTATTTCTAAGTGCAATGATTTGTCATATATTGACTTCAAATCATTTACAAATCCTACCAAGTCCTTAGGACTGCAGGTTTTGCAAGTAACATTTTTTTTCCTGTGGTTGAGAGGTG